TTTTTTAATTGTAGTTGGTTGGTTCAACTGTTCAATGCCCGACACAAGCTAACAGGAACTGGTGATCCGCCCATTTAGGGAGGGTAGGAAAGGGTCCAGGTTCAGTGTACCTAAACCATTCGGTCCATCTCTCAACCGCTAATGGAAATAAGAGCATAAGAAACAAAAACAAAAATTCTGCCGTCCGAACTTACCCCTGGAGGAACCTCTCTTTATTGAATCAAGATTTCTTTACCTAGTTTAACCTTCAAATTTCTAAATTCCCAGATTTTGTTTTCTACTTTGGGTAGTTGGGATGACGATGGTGCAGGAACCGGTGGTCAAAACCACCATATCACCCCCCAATTCATATGGAGCGGTTGTTCTCGGCGGCACCTTCGATCGCTTGCATGATGGCCACCGCCTCTTTCTCAAAGTAATCGCCCCGCGCGCTTTCTGATTTTGTTGTCTCTGCTCTCTCTCTCTTTCTATTCCCTTTTTTCTTTTGTCGGAAAATGAATGATTTTGTTTTCAATAGGCATCGGCCGAGCTGGCAAAGGATCGGATTGTGGTGGGAGTTTGCGCTGGTCCTATGTTGACCAAAAAAGAGGTAAATTAATGCTTCATCCTATTCTCTGCAAAACTGCAATGGCGTCTGTTGCTTGCTAAGCTTTTAGTTGAATTTTCATCAACATTTGAACACCCTTTTCCTTCCCTTTTCCTTCCAAAGCTAGTATTTTGGAGAAAGTTTTTGGCTTTTCAATTTTCACTTGGTATATATGATCGATCTGATATTCATTGTTTTATTTAGATGTAGTGCAAATTCATGGTATCTTTTTTTCTTTAATTCTTGCAGTTTGCAGATTTAATACAACCCATTGAAGAAAGAATGCGTAATGTTGAGAACTATATTAAGGTATTTTCTATATTCTGCTAACTTGATTGGAATTGGTTTCTGTACGCTGAATGTGTGGAGGCTGTGTGGTGCAGATTTTGGGGAGGGTTTTAGGTGGGTTATGTGTTGTTCCTGTTTACGTCTTGTAACTTTTTAATGTAAGCTTGGTGGACTAGGCTACATGCCTAGAGTTTGGCATCATTTTCAGCAAGGAACAATGGGGAGTGCAAATGAATTGCTAGTGGTCTATTAGGGGAAAGGGCGTTGAAGTGACAGTGAAAGCTGGTGTTTGGTGAACTAGGTGGGGTAGAAGAGCACATGAACCATCACTACTTACTACCAATATATCGTAAAATTGTCCACAAGGTTTTGTGTGGCATTTTGCGTACAAAACCTTATTCCTATTGTTTTCAACTAAGTCCTTATTTCATGTACAATGTGCAGTCTATCAAGCCAGAACTGGTAGTGCAAGTTGAACCTATTACGGATCCATATGGCCCTTCAATAGTCGATGAAAATTTGGATGCCATTGTTGTCAGGTTTGTAATTTAACCATTTTGTCGTTAGTCTTCTAGGTTGGGCAGAGTAACCATTTTTTTCCATCAAAATTCTGTTGGAGTTTCTCCACATCGTATATATGTGCTTTGGTAGTCTAATTTGGGTTTCAGTCAGCTGCTCATGGTGATTCTCTCCTGCCAAAGAGAAATTCCTTATTTCATTTTTGGATTTTGCGTGAGCTAAAGAACATTTTGTCAGCAGTGTTAATGTGACCTGCAACTCTAGCCCTATTTCAGTCCCACAATCCACAAGTAGAAGTGTGATTGTTCTTGACTAACTAGTTTTGTGCTTTTTGGTTTTCTGGCAGTAAAGAGACATTACCGGGTGGAATATCAGTCAATAAAAAGAGAGCCGATAGAGGCCTTCCAGAGCTAAAGGTTAGTCTTCCTGCTAGCTGTATATTTGATCTCAATATGGAGTCAAGAAAAGTTAATGGCAAATGTTCTTGACGATGAGGCCCAAGTATTATTTCCAATTCTCTGCAGGTTGAAGTTGTAGATCTACTTTCAGAAGAATCTACAGGAGGTAAACTGAGCTCAACAACATTAAGGAAGCTTGAAGCGGAGAAGGCCAAAAATCAACAGACTGCTCAAACATGATAATCTGAGTTTGACGACATTGTGCAAGCTTATGTAAACACTATGACATCGACTTCATAGGATGTTATATTGTGATTTATTCAGTGTTCATCTTCTGTAACAGTAACAGAACAATGTACATGGACGCCCGGAATTTCCATAAAATAAACTGTTCAGTTTTCTTCCCAAATTGATATTACAGCTTAAACACAACATGCATACAAACTTATATCTCAGCTGTAACTCATTATTATACATAACTTCATCAAGCACAAGCAATCCTGAAAGGAGAATTGTGCAGATTAGTCTTACAGAAGTCAAATGGAATGCAAACACAAAAAATTGTAAACGCAATTTAGATTACACAACTTAAATCGTTTAATAAAAAGTAAGCTCTCTAATATTCAGGGTTATCTCCGCATCTAACAGTTTCTGTTTTACCGTCCAGCAAATACTAACAAGCAAAAGAACTCAATTGGGAAAATCAAACGCTGTCGTTTTAAGTTAGGAAGTAACAAAAACGCTGTCGTTTCGAGCTAACCAACCTATTTCGTCGGAGTTGCTCCGGTTTCTCTCAAAACGTAACGGCTCTCTTCCGATCAACGAAAATTTGAACTTCGTAACTGAATAGCCGCGATACTTGATTCTCTTTGAAAACCCCTGCAACTGTCATATTTCCCCCACAAATCAATTAGACTCAAACCCTTTAGTATAAAAAATTGCTTACCCACGAGAAAGAAGAGAGATTCTTGACGTTTCAGAATTGAGAAAGCCTTCCTCCGGTATTTTACAGAACAGGGCAAGAGGTTCATCAGCCATTTCATGAATCTCCACTTTCAGGTTTCCCTTCTTACTTTCAGAATCACTATCCTCTATGTGGGTTCTTCTTCGGTTTCTACTTTTCTTGATGATCTTTACTCATGCAATAGTTCATGATTTTATGTTGGTTCTATGGTGAACTCAGATTTCTGGAGAAATCAATTTAGAGGAACTAAGAATCTTGGCCAGCCGACCCAAATCCTTACTCTGTTAAAAGGGTATTTCTACTTCAGTTCACTTTTCTCTATAATCTATTTATGGGTTTTCAAGTTTCTTGCTTGGTTTTGTTTACGCAATTCCAACTTTCGATCCCCTGTTTTTGGGTTTTGATTGTTCCTAATTTTGTGTTGGTTCTTGAATGAATTTAGATCCTGGAGAAATCAATTCAGAGGACCCAAGAATCTTGAAGAGTTGATCCAAGGGTACTTCAAATGCTTTCTTGGGTTTTCAAATTTCTTGCTTAATTTTTCCCTGAAGCAATACTTATGTTCCATCCTCTGTTTTTCTCAGGTGGGTTTTTGCCATATTCTTGCAAAGATGAACGATTTAATGACAAAATCGTTCTTAAGTTATGTAGATTTGAAGAAACAGGCCATGAAAGACATGGAAGCCGATCTGGATATCGAGAAAGGCGGCCAACTCAGCCCCATGGACGAACAGAACCTCTCTCAGTTCTTCCAAGAAGTGGCCGCAATCGAGATTGAAATTGAAGAGATTACCAATCTCTTGTTCGATCTTCAGAACCTTAACGAAGGAACCAAGTCCACTCACAGCGCCAAAGTTCTTCGTGGACTAAGGGACCGCATGGAATCCGACATCGTCTCTGTTCTCCGCAAAACAAAATGTATCAAGGAACGGCTCGAGTCCCTGGATCGATCCAACATACGCAATCGAAGAAAATCTGAGTCGTATAAAGAAGGAACATGTGTTGATCGAACAAGGGTGTCGATCACGAGCGGTTTGAGAGTCAAGCTTCGGGAGATCATGAACGAATTTCAGTCCTTGAGAGAGAAGATTCTATCAGATTACAAAGGAGAGCTCAAGAGAAGGTACTACAATGCAACCGGCGAGGAACCCACCGAGGAGGTGATCGAGAAGATTGTTTCCGGCGGAGAAAAAGTTCAGTTATGTTATGGGAAAGCAGGAGATGATCAGAGGCATGACGCCGTCATGGACGTACAACGGAGTCTGAAAAGGCTGCATCAGGTGTTTCTGGACATGGCACTTCTGGTTGAGACACAGGGGGAGAAGATAGATGACATTGAAGAGAATGTAGCCAATGCCAGTGACTTTATTAGTGGTGGCACCGACAGCCTTTACTATGCTAAGCAGATGAAGAAGAAGACGAAGACATGGGTGTTCTGGGTCTGGGCTGTTGGGTTCTTTATACTTCTGGTTTGCATTGTTTCCATGATAAGTTCTTGAAAAAGAATAGGCCTAGAAGATTTTCATTTTCTGAGGACTGTAAATTCTTTTCTCTGATTGGTTTTTTTCATTTCCCCTGTTTCTTCAGTTCCTACTGAAAATTTCAGGAAGCAATTTCAATTTGTCCTAACTTGTATGACTTTTTAAGTATGAAGGAGAAAAATGTAGTAAAGAGAACAAGACAAAATGAAAGGGGGACCAGCAAAAATAATCAGATTGGGAAAATGAGGGACATTTTCATCCTCAGAAAACCAGAAATCTTATCCACACTGGTGACATACTGAATCTGAAAGTGTAATCTCTAGCTTTCTACCACCTTATCAACGAATAATGGAATGCATCATCCTGCCTCCAACAAAACAGCTCTCTATGCAATTGAACCATCCACAAACTCTGTCCCTGCTTGACAGATGTTCAAACATGGAGGAACTGCAGCAGATTCATGGGCGAATGTTAAAGACTGGCCTAGTTGTGGATGACATTCCGGTAAGCAAGGTCCTGACTTTCTGTGTTTCTCCCAGATCTGGCAATTTACAATATGCACAGATGGTGTTTGAAAGAATTAGAAGACCCAATACTTTCATGTACAACATCATGATGAGAGGGTACTCAAACAGCAGTAAACCAGAGAAAGCCATTCTTCTGTACCAGCAGATGCTGCACCATTCAGTTCCACACAATGCCTATACCTTTCCTTTCCTGCTCAAAGCCTGTTCTTGTCTGTCAGCCCTAGAAGAAACCAAGCAGATTCATGCCCACATCATAAAGTTAGGGTTTGGCTCAGATGTTTATGCCACAAATTCCCTGATTCATGTCTATGCGGTATCCGGCAGCCTCAAATCCGCATGTCTTCTCTTTGAGCGGCTTTCTGAGAGGGACACTGTTTCTTGGAACTCAATGATAGATGGCTATGCAAGATGTGGCCAGATGGAAGTTGCTTATGAAATTTTCAAAGATATGCAAACAAGGAATATCATCTCTTGGACGACAATGATTTCTGGATATCTCAGGGCAGGAATGCATAAAGAAGCTCTAAATCTATTCCATGAAATGCAGATTGCAGGTGTAAAACCTGACAAAGTAGCACTTTCGAGTGCTCTCTCAGCATGTGCACATCTTGGAGCATTAGAGCAAGGCAGATGGATTCATACATATGTTAAAAGGGTAAAAATAGAAATTGATCCAATCTTAGGATGTGTTCTCATAGACATGTATGCAAAGTGCGGTAACCTAGAAGAAGCTCTAGAAGTGTTCATGAAAGTGAAGAAGAAAGAAGTGTCTGTATGGACCGCATTAATTTCTGGATATGCAATCCACGGCCATGGAAGAGAAGCTCTTAATTGGTTTATGCATATGCAAGAGGCAGGAACAAAGCCAAACCATGTTACTTTCACTGCAATTCTGACAGCTTGTAGTTATGCCGGTCTTGTTGAGGAAGGAAAAACTCTGTTCACTAGTATGGAAAGAGTCCATAAACTTAGCCCGACGGTAGAGCATTATGGATGCATGGTAGATCTACTCAGCCGAGCAGGTTACCTGAAGGAAGCAAAGATGCTGATTGAAAATATGCCAGTAAAACCAAATGCTGTCATTTGGGGGGCACTGCTGAATGCCTGCTGGATGCATAAAAATGTTAAATTAGGTAAAAAGATAGGGAAAATCCTGATTGAAGAAGATCCTCACCATGGTGGCCGGTACGTTCACTTGGCAAGCATTCATGCTGTGGCAGGGGAATGGGACCAAGCAGTTGAAGCAAGGAGGAAGATGAAGAAACAGGGAGTTTCTAAACTTCCGGGGTGCAGTGCCATCAGTCTGAATGGGACTATTCATGAGTTTTTGGCTGGAGACATGTCACACCCCCAGATGTCAGAGATTTACAAGATGTGGGATAAAATTGCAGAAAGACTGAAAGAAGAAGGGTATAAACCTGAAGTAGTGGATTTACTACTTGATCTTGAGGATGAAACCAAAACGATAGAAATTGATTAGCACAATGAGAAGCTGGTTATTGAAGTTAGGTTAATCAAAACTAAAACAGTGATAACAATTTGAATTGTCCAAAAAAGACCGTGATACAGTACAAAGCATATCATCAAAAAAAAAAAAAAAAAGATTTAGAGAGAAGGGATGAGTAATCCTTTATTTTGTACATTTAATTCTTCAAATTCTTTTGACCTATAGAAGTAAAGAAAGAAAAATAGAAGAGCACAACATTTTTATTTTTTTATCCCCTCTCTTTCAATTTTCTCCATTTTTTTCAAATCAAACATGTAGATTGAGATTAAGGACTCACAAATGTAGATCTAATTGTTTAGAGATTGTACTAACCTTTAAATTTTACTTACAGATATTAAAAAAAAAAAGAAAGAAAAAGATAAAACCCAACCATATGATAGATCAAATCCCTAACTCGCTTTTATTGAAAGTTGTTGGTAGTGTTTGGTTTAACAATTTTATGATAGTCAATATCTAATTATTTATAGTATTTAAATCACTTAAATTGTAAAAATAACTAAAATAATAGATAAAGCTCTAGCTATTTTATTTTTATTGTGAAGATTCAATTTAATTTAATGGTAAGAATTAGAGTAGCCCATAAAATTAGCCATACACCTAAATAAAATACATTTTAATCATTATAAATAAATATCATGAACGTTTTAGTCCTTCATTGACTTTCGTGGAGTTTTGATAATTGAAGTAAAATTGTCACTAACATAAAAGCTTTTCACACTCTCATGGCAAGAATCTAAATTTCTGTTTTCTCTCCTCATTTCTCTTCTTTCATAATCTTAAATCACTTATTTTAATATATATATATATATAAATAACCACTAAGACTTTGTTTTGTTTAGTTAATTTTATTAATTTATAACATTTTTTTCTTAAATATCTGATTAGGGAATTTAAAAATATATTTTTTAAGCTGTTTCTAAAATATTGAGTGATAAATATAAGTTATTCTACCATTTAATAGTTACAAGCCTACGACTATTAATCAACCAAACATGGCGGAGAACAAGGCCTTGTGGCCCATGGTTGGGCCAAACTTTTAAGTATTTGGTTAAAATGATCAGAGTTTTGAATTTCATTATTGTCATGAATTTGATCAAAAAATAACTTAATAGTGTACCTTATTTAAAGAATGAAATATTCACATAGTCTAAAAATCAATTACTAATAATTATCTGACACTAACTTCTTCGTTATTACCTTGTAAAAAATAAAAAATAAAAAACCCAAACATGGCGGAAATTTGTTTGAAGATTTTGTTTGACCATGTGGTGAGCACTGGCCATATGGCCCACAAAAGTACTTTATAATCCAAACTTAGAAGCTAATGGTCCTAAATCTTAAAACTTTCAGTTCTAAAAGGCAGAATTATGGCTTGTGAATTGTGATTATCCCACCGGAAAATGTTTGATGTCTCCAATGCGCGCAAACCATTTTAAGGATCTCTCCACCCTCCGCTTTTTCAATCTTCAGCTCTCCGATTCCGCCATGGAAGCTTCTGCTAAGCTCCTTAAACCCTCCTATCTCGTCGGCCCCAGGATTGCATCACCGTCGCTGACATTCACGACGGCGACCCATTCTGTCACATTCTCTCGCAGTCAACGCAAGGGTGTCGTTTTTAGACCCAGGTCTTCCCTCTTTCGCTTCCGCTCTTCTTTATCGCCGATTTCTCCCAGTCCCAAACCTTTTGGATCTCTTTCAGTCTCCTCTTCCGTACCCTTTAACTCCCAAGTTTATTTCAACTCGTTCCTTCGGTCCAACCCCAACGAGGCCGGCTTTGTTTGGAACCGAGCGCCGGAGAGCGTCGTCGATGGAGGGAGCCGGGTGGACCTCGTCGGGGACAAGGGACCTGTGGTTACCGTGGTTCTATTGGGGTGGCTCGGGTCCAAAAGGAAGTACCTCAAAAGGTACGTGGAGTGGTACAATTCCCGAGGCATCCACGCCGTTACTTTCGTCGTCCAAGTGACGGATATGCTGTCGTTCGATTTGGGAACCAGGCTGGAGCAGCGGATCTCTGCATTTGGATCGGAGTTGGGCTCGTGGGTATTGGAGAAGGAGGAGGATGGTAGAGAACGGTGCTTGGTCTTCCACCCTTTTAGTAACGCTGGCTGGCTAACGTATGTTCCATGGCTGAAAATACTATTTCCCCTATCGCTTGTGTCATAGAAAAAATTGAACCTTTCTTTTTTGTTTGTGTTGTTTAGCTTTAGTGAGTTGGGTTCTTCTCGTTTGCAGGTGTGGCGCAATTCTTGATAGTTTTCAGGGAAGAGATGACATAAAGGAGAAGATAAGAGGGATTATTATTGATTCGGGAGGAGGGGGCGTTTTGAATCCTAAGGTATTCGAAATTTATCATACAAATGTTGCTGATTGTTATGCAGTACATAGAAACATTAGTTAAAATTTATCAGAAAAAAGTTTGCTGATTAATGATTATTATGCAGTGCAGAATTATTTAAAAGGGAAAAAAACCTTTATATATATATATATATATATATATATATGCTACATAGAAATCATATTCCTGGTGCAATAGGCAAAGTTAGGATTTTTATCTACGCTTTGGTAGACATCAAGTACAGGCAAGAGGAAGAAAATGCATAGAGAAGAATGTGTCTGCAAGTGTATGATAGCTGAGAGCAGTCATTTGTTTATTTCATAACTGTCCTACTTCTCCCCAAGTTCTGACTGTGGAGACAAGTGAGGAAATTGGCCTGAAAGCAACGTTCAACTTTCTGAACTCTTCTCATTTTTGTTGGCTGAACTTTCCTTTATGGTCCTTTTGAACTTTTCTAATGTATGGCTGTAGCAGTTTTGAGAACTTATATAAGCTGTTTGCTGCTGGTCCAAGTATTTGAACTCAGTAAAAGAAAATTATTTGAATATACCCAAGCTGTCGGGTAGGATCATGGTAAACTTACCTGATCCAAATTAATAAGGAGGATGAGTCCAGGTCCTACCCCGAAAGATTTGGATATTTCAATCACTTGGCAGTCCTATTCTGTGGTTTTATTCAATGTTTTTGAATGTGTTATGTAGCTTATGTGTTGTTTAGTTTATTGTGAAACCTCTATATTTTGAGGTTCAGATCATATGTTATTCATGCATTACCCATAGAGAGGAACATCACTTGAATTTGAGCAGGGAACTTTACATAAAAAGTATGCGTACTGTTGTCTAAAATGGTCTGGATTCATTTGCCTTTGTTTTGGATATTGTGATTTTGTTTAATAGATTTCTGTATGCTTTCACTGTAATTTCTTTCTTGTCCCTCTTCCAAATGGATTGAATGTGAAACGTAGAGCTAAACTCTGCAGGTAAATTCTCTTCATCCTTGCAGGTTTGGGCAGCTGGATTTGCTATTGCTATTTTAAAGAAACGCAACTCTTCGATAAATGGAATAGAAAGTGAAGCTACTGCATTAAAATTGCAAGAAAATGAACCGTCAAAGTTTGAAGCCATGCTGCTAGCTGCATTGGAGAAGCTCTGGTCATGCTTTATGCCTGAAATTGAGAGGTAAATTTTTCTGTCTGTTTCTTGACAATTCATTTTAAAAGAACAGAATTGTGATTTGGTTTGGTAGATGACAACATAATCCACAGTTTTAGAATATGATTAAAATTCATAATTAGTAGTCAAAAGAAATTTGATGGTAGCTGTTATTCACTTGCTTTTTACTACAGGAGGGTAAGAAAATATGTTGATGCTTTCTTAGAGCACCCGCCTCCTTGTCCCCAACTTTACCTTTATAGCACAGCCGATAAGGTCGTTCCATCTGAGACAATTGAGCTGTGTATGGAGAAGCAGAGAATGAATGGGATAAAGGTGTTTTCATATGACTTTGGCACATCTCCCCATGTGGATCACTACCGGACTTTTCCCGACATTTATTCATCACAGCTCCATAATTTTTTGAAAGAGTGCTTTGCCATTGTTAAGCAGAAGTAATCCCTGCAAATGCAGGTAATTTGTGTGCAGATCAATTGAATGCTTTACTTGCTACTTGCTAGTGCAGCTCAATTGAATGCTTTGATTGCTACTTGCTAGTGCAGCTCAATTGAATGCTTTGATTTCTACTTGCTAGTGCAGAGGCATTGCTAATAAGCCCCCTAGGGCAATGCACTAGGGTTGGTGCCTTTTTAGTTAAAATGCTGATTTATGTTGTAAAGTTCATATATGATGATATCATATTTGAATTTCTTCTTCTCTATAAGCTTTGAACTCTGGAGTCCATACGTTAGGTAATTTACGAGAAGTTAGCTCCTTATAATTTCTTCTATAGATTGAATCTTGATAAATGAGGTGAGGAGCAAACTCAATCTCAATCAAGTCAAGTTCATGGAGTACGGTTGAACTGGTATATAGACAGCTATTTTCTACCAAGAATTCAAGTGGATGTGTCCTTTAATCTCCCATATGCTGTGCTGATAATAACTTTGAAACTGATTCCTAGCAGATCTGATTATGTTATGTGTTGAACTGCAACGATATTGACTATAAAACTATTTCAGGGCTTCCCTATACCCCATGCCATTGAAATTCTTTAGCCTAACCAACTAACTTAGCAGGTCAGGCATTTAGGTTTGTTTCTCTGGGTCAGCAGGGGCCAGCTAGAAATCCGTACTAATCTGGGGTCCAAGCCAGCCATAGAATGATAAATAGGTTGATACGCCACAAGACTGGTAGTGACGGAAAAATGAGAACATTCAGAAAAGCCTCAAACTTTTTCACAGATTACAATTGAGCCCTATAGCTTCTCAATGGTAAATCAACTCATCTTGTCAGCAAAAATCTATCCAAATTGGATGAGGAGCTAAGGAAATTCACTTCCAAATCGGATGGAGAAGTTCACTTCCCATGCCACATGACAGTTTGTTTGTGGTTTACTTTATGTAAGTGTGAATCTTTGTCTTTTTTTATGTAACAATCTTTGTTTGAAAAAATAAAAAAAAAAACTCATAAAGAAGATTCTTCTCACATAAAGACTGACATTATAAAGTCCTAAGTAAAGCTCTATTCCAGCTTAAGGGAAAATGGCAAACTAATTTTCATCCTAGCATCATAACCTTTTCCATTCAATGTAGATAAATCCTTACAAATAATGAAGTTGAGAAATTGATTTGCCACCAAAAATAACATAAGGGACTCAATTACCAATGGGGAAGAAATTTTAAGGATTGAAAGTTTTAATGATTTTTTTTTTGTAAAAGTAACATTATGAAAAGTGAATCTAAACATAAATTATTGGTATTTCTTTATAGTTTTTATTTTATTTTCTTTGAGCAGTGCTCCTAATTTCTTTTTTTCTGTATAATCTCTCGTGCCAATTCCCATGTATTTTGAAATTAACTTCCCTCAGATAATTTTAAGTCAACTTAAAATTAATTTATTCAAGTATTATCCTAAAATTTAAAAGAGTGTTTGTTTTAATTTTTT